AACAAATAGCGCTGTGGATAAAGCCATCCCCAGGACTGTGAGAATGATGAGTGATGAGTGTGTGAGTCACACAAATCAGTCCACGTGGGAAAGAGGAGAGAGGCTCTCCAGTGGCTCCAGCTAGAGCACTCACATGGTCCAACTGAAGATGGGTTATGACCTGGGAGGAAAAGACCAAACGGAAAAGGACTGTGATATCAAGCAATCCCGGAGATCAGGTTACAGGCTTATAAGATAACTGCAACCCAAATGGTCTATATGATATACGCAGGGCTTAGTGTGTAACAGTAAATTAGCTTAGTTAATAACACAGAGCTGGCTTGGTGTTTTAAGTTAGAACAGTGGAAGTATTTTTGACATTGTCATAAGAAAAATACAGTTCAAAAAAAGTGAAAAGCAAGTTTTATTTTTAAACACATCCAGGTGTGTTCAAAAGGTGTAATGACAGTGTAGAAAGGAAAATCTGCCTGTAATGTAATTTAATAGTAACCTGAATGTGCTACTCTTTGTACATCACATTTTTTCTGGCCTGTGCATGCATCACTTGTTATGCTGTCTTTTGCAGATAGTAATTATGCTAATACCTTGCTGCACATTCCTTTACCAAATGTGAAACTGGCAGGACTCTTCATTTTATCCATAAATCTTTTGTATTGTCAGTCTGGTAGTGAACCATGTTGTTAAAATACAGTTGCAGCGATTTTGTCTCTTACAGGCACTAAAATAACATTTTCTGCTGACTATGAAGGGAGTTTAAAGAGAACTGGGGGGAGATCAGAGCCCTGCCGGTACTGCATACAGGGCTCACATTTCCTTTTTGGCCAAATCTTTTTTACCAGCTATTGAACCAAGCAGTGATTTCACTGGGAGAACAGAGTTTCATGGTCAAACTGATCATCCCCCTGGTGCCTTTGAAAATATCCTACATTATTGTTATTATTATTGTTATTATTCCTACTGTTGCTTGTCTCTCAGACATGAAACTAAAACTCCCGCATCAAAATAGCCTTTTTGATTCCGGATTCAGAAGGGTGGGATGCATTAGGGGTAGATGAAGGTTTAGGTGATGTTGCAGTGGATATAAAATGTGCTCATCAGTGATGCTGTCGCCGCGTTCGTTGCCGTAGCCAACAGTAGCTAGGTTTGGACCCATGCTCTCTGGTTCAGTGTGGGCCTGTCATACTCCCGTTGTCTCCTGGGAACTTTTTGTTCCCAGAAAGCAAACACTCCTTATAAATGTGGGCTGGGTGTTCCCAGCATTCGATAGAGCTGTGGGAACTTCTCTCACTCATATCCCATATTGAGAGAAGGGAGTTTTAGACAGAGGGAATTCTCATCCAGACTGATATTTGCAGTTTCCACTTCCTTTGTGCCAAGAGAGAATAGGTGACAGAGCCGTGAGCCAAGGTTGGTCACAGTTGTCACAAGCAGGACAGAGCAGGCCCTGAGGTGGGAAGCGGACAGAGGAGAGGGGAATGTGGCATCATCTCCTAGCTAAAAACTCTCTTTTGCTTTTGCTTTTGTTTTTGAAGAGGTCTGTGACCAAGCTGACAACTAAGTGACAGCCACAGCAACAGGAAATTTGCATTGCCTTGAAATCAGTGTGAGAAAAACCTTAGAATCTGTGGGTTTTGCTTTCTTTGCCAAACTTTGTGCACAGTACCACAGGGAGCCTGTCCTACGGGTTCGCTCATGCAGGAGCAGAGTGCAGCCAAACCGACCCCATCCTGCAGTCACCCCAGAGGAGGAGAAGCCTCAAGTTACCCGAGAAGTGTAAAACCCTCATGGCAAAATCCAAAGCCCAAATGCTCCCTGAGGCCCAGCCCTTCCCTGACAAGCTTCTTCACAAGATGAGGTCAATTTAAAGATTCTTCCCCTTTGTCTGACACATTTTTCCTTGCTTTTCCTTTTCTTTGGCTTTTTTTGTTGGGTTTCAGAGATCTCTTGCAGCGTAGCCCCACTTTCTTTGTAGCCATCCAGTGAACTCATGGGCTCCCTGATCAGGGACTTATGTGGTGAGTCAGTAGCTGAAGCTGGACTTACGTATACCACTTTGAGACAAACCTTGGAGATTGCCTTTTCACCACAGGCTACATTTGAAATTACCCAAACCATAGCTTTTTGTTGATTTCCCTGGGTTCTCGCTTGCGCCCTGTGCAATCATTGTTCTCATGATAATGATGATGATAGTAATTCTTCCTGTGCTGCAACACTAACTAGTGACCACTGAACAGGAGAGAAATGACATGGCTTTTCCCCTGCACAAGAGTGACAAAAACACAAAGAGGAGTTTTCTTTCCTGAAAGGAAGGTTGTAACCCGACTTCTTAAGGCATCTTGGAAATTGCTGGCATGCCGCATGCTGCCCATCCTAAATGGAAGCACGCAGGCAGCCTCTGCCAAGAATGTATTTTTATCTTTCTCCTTTGCTTGCAGTCCTTTTCCCTTTTTCTTTTGCCAGTAGCTGTAGATCACAGTGAGAGTACAGTGCTGATGTGAATATTAGTTCAGTGGAGCCTGAACAGAAACCATTCCTGGCCCTGTGACTCACATTCAGCTCATAAAGCAGTCGCTCCTTCCCCCTGCATGCCCTTGTTGAGCAGTTCCTTCACCCAGACCAATAGCAGCTCCCACATTTGCTCAGATAGAGCAGAGCCCAGCTGATATCAAGGGAGTCTGGCTATTAATTTTCAGGCACACTGACTTCTTCACTTGGAGGCTATTTTTGTCAGTCTTTCAGTATTCGATTACCCAGTTGGCATTTTCCCTTCCCTAAGCAAAATACCAAGCACTCAGCCACAGAGATGCGCCAAAACTACTGTCTAGAGAAACAGGTTTGGTGTCTTGCCAGCTGTTTTAGCCAACAGAAATTCACAGATGTGTCAACTGCTTTAATGCACAGAAACACTTGAGCGGGGCTCTGTTCCACAGAGGACAGGTGCCCAGCCTGCCCGGCCCCGCTCCGCACAAGCCAGCGGGCTGCTGCCTTCGCTCTGGGCGCAGTCAGCAGCGCGGTCCCACCATGTCATCAATCACAGCAGCGGGCAAATGAATTCATGACAATTGCACCGGATGAGGAGGTTTCTACAAATTGCGCTGAACTGATTTTTCCCCATTCAAGAATGGTAAAAGGGGAAAGAGGTGTTTCATGCTTTTAGAAGTGAACCTTTATTGCAGCAATATTAAAAGAAAAGCGGCTAATAAGCTGGCCTGTACAATTCTCCACCTGGACTATTAGAACCTTCAGCAAAATGAATATATATATATATAATA